GATTGATCGACTTACCCTGCTCTGTGGTGAAGTAGCGGTAACGAGACCCAATGTACTCAAACTGGCCAGTAGCGGGATTCTTGATCTGCACATTGCTAGTGAGATACTTGTCACCATAAACCTTGGAGAAGTTGTTGAAGGTCTCGTAGGCAATTTCTGTAACATAGAGCTCGTGGTTTCCAATAGTCAACAAATCGTAATCGATGTTTTCAAAAATGGCGTTCGAGACGTTGCCATTGGGAGTGGTCGCATCGCTGAGTCCAGCACCGTCATGCAGATCCTATCGCACGTTAGTCAAAGTGCTACTTCCTTCCACCACGTGCGCAGCCCTACTCGTCCCCAGGGCTTGATGGCAGACACTAACCCCTGTGTCTACCAGAAGCAGATCAACGCCCAGATTCCGAGCCTTCTGCTTCATGTGCTTGGTGAAGCTGGCGTAATCACCCCAATCGGCCCCATAGTTCTGTTCCTTGATGTGACCTTCCAGCCATCCATGGGTATCCGTGGTATGCAGGAAGTTGATCTGACCCCATTCTAGAGGCGCTTTGGGTGTTGTGGTCGCATTCTGCGCGTCCGGCTGCATGCGACGAACGTTTCTGGTCAATACGACATCATCTTTCAGCGGCCCGTAGCAGCTGTTATGACCTTCGCAGGCTAGTGCAGGTGCTATTATTGAGACGAAAGCACCAAGGGCAAAAGACCGCATCGTGAGAACAGGGCGAAGGACAGCGCGCGAGATCCAGCTTACAGGGCGTCATCTTCTTATGTAGCCTTTATGGCAGGTACGCGTACGTGCATCGCCGCCTCGGCTGTCTTACCCATGCCGCCGAAAAAAGATGCCCCTAGGGGCGGAAGCGGCAAAATCGCACGTGTAACGTTCATTGGAGAGAAAGATAAGCTTCGGCATGGTCGTGGACAAGCCATGCCAGAAAGCTTGATCGAAGCTTGCTCCTTCCTGTTGAGCGACAAGCGCAATTTTAGCGTTCCGAGGACCGGGGATATGGCATCGCACCTCTCCGATGGTTCTCCCCGGCCATCTCCCGTATCTCTGCGCTATCATTCGCCAACTCGCTTTCATCATACTGCTCGGAAGGCGGCTTGGAGCGCAGTGGTCTTGATGACTCTCAATCGCGACAATCGCGACAATCACTTAACTCGATCAATGCGTAGTACGTCATTACTCCTGGCATCTCGCTGGAACCCAAGAGGCCTTTCCTTTTCTAAGGGATGATTTCATCATGGATCTCGTGTTCGACCGTCTCTCTTAAGACTGGCTGCCTGTCACCATACGAAACTGATAAACGGATGGCATGGCTCTGAACTCCACTAGTATCCGTGCCGCTTCCATGGCTTATCACCCAGCTCCAACCCTAACTCAGGCTTCGTCTTGTAGCGAGATCGTTCCCGCGGCGGGATGAAGAGCCTAGTACACGGCCTTTCACCCCCTCCTCAGTTCTGGAAAGGCATCGTTGTGGCTAAACAATGATCAGCTATGTGAAAGTACATAGCAGCACTGCATCAACTACAAAGCAAGGTACCTCCTGTGCTATTTCACGCTTCAACCCAAATTCTCGTCACAATTCTCAATATAGCAGCTAGATCAGCTTCGCAGTCATGGCCAACCCACGGTGTGCCACTTGCGGGACAGTCGCCGTCCGTCCGGATCCAGAACTGCCTCACCTCAACGCCAGGTGGTACAAGAACCAGCTATTGGCTGACATTACCATCAAATACGGCGACCATGGTGAGAAGGACTTCATCGGTCATCGTCTCGTCTTTTGCTCAGTGAGTGAGTGGTTCAAGAAGGCATCCAAAAACTTCAAAGAAGCCAATGATCGGGTGATAACTCTTGAGGGCGACCATCCGGAAGGCCTAGAGGCTCTATTCGAGTACGCGTACAAAGAGGAGTATCTCGAAACAGTCGATATTCCGGATGAGTTGACGGAGCTACGACAGCGGTTCAGGCATCGTCTGCGTGTATTCGCAGTAGCCGATAAGTATCAAGTAGAAGGTCTAACAGCTCTAGCCTATCGCCAGCTCAAGCAGCTCGTGGATCTCTTCACTGAACCAAGACGGACCTACGGTGACGAAGATGAGACGACAGCACCGGAGTTCTTCCGGTTCATGGTGAGGCAAGTGTATCATGATAGCGAGCGTTATTTTCCAGCTCTGCGGGACGACCTACACCAAACCGATCCGACCGCGAAAGAAACTTCGCGGACAAACCCGTCTGAGACTGAGCAAATCAACTCCACGTCTACTGAGAACGCTCCTGTGAGCGCTACATCTCAGCGGCACAACCCCACACGGGAGACAACATCCAACCCACCGAACCCACATTCAACCGATGGTAGAAGTTCAAACCACCCTCTCGATCGCGTCCAGGATCTTCTTGTGGAAGGAGCCATGAATGCCTGGGTCAACGCGCATCCGGACTTCAATCGTCAGCATCTTGTGCCTCTTGCTCAAATGTTTCCGGATTTCGGCACGGATCTCATTGTTGCAGCGCTGAAGTCGTCGCGCATAGAAGGCATGCCTGAGTATCTTTATGAAGACGAGGATTACGCTTATGACAGTGATAATGACTGGCTGAGGGCTCAAATCTTGTGAAATCTAGTTATCTTGCAATGGAGATGGAGACAGGTATATATGCGCGTAGCGTAATGACGCAATACATGTACTGTTGAAGTGTATACGAATTCGCGATACGGTTCTTGTGATGCGACACGTTTTTTTTTTCAGATTTCATGCATCTAATGCGCCGCGGTGATAGCAGCGCGCGTGACGAAAGTGATGGAGTGAAAGTGAAGTTGGTCGAAGCTTCTCGATGACGAGCTGGTCCGAACGCGACATGCCACTTGAGCCCCGCAGTGCTACGGACAAGGTGCAGCCTCGAAGCACAACACAAACACTCGCCGTAGCACACGACTCAGACCTCGGCCACGATGGTAATCAACTACAGCAAGTGGGTGAGTCATGCGTTTCTGCACATGCCATGGTAACAGCTTCTAACAATTTCCCAGGACGCCTTGGAGCTCTCGGACGACAGCGACATCGAAGTGCACCCCAATGTCGACAAGAAATCCTTCATTCGCGCCAAACAAGCCCAGATTCACCAAGAGCGCGACCACCGCCGCCACCAAATAAAGACGCTCAAGTACGAGCGCATCATCAACGATGGCCTCACCGAACGCGTCGACCGCCTGCTCACAGCGCTGAAGTCGCACAAGGACAAGCAGGCAGAGGGAAATGGCCAGAACGATGACCAGCTCGTCTTCCAGGCCATGATGGAGAGCATGATGGACATGAAGATTGACAAGGACGGAGGTTCAGACAGGCCGCCGCCACCACCAGAGGGTGTACACGAGCACATCAAGGACAAGCCCACATACCCGCAGATGATGGCGAGCTTAGTAGACGCAGTGAAGAAGGACATTGACGAGCAGAAGAGCGAAGAGCCGCGATACACACTATTCATCCAGGGTCTAGAGAAGGAGAAGGCGCGCATACAAGATCTCCAGCAACAACTGCTAGCCAAGCTCGACGAGCTAGAAAAGGAAGACAAGAAGCACATCACGAGCGACGACATCCACGAAGGCTTCAGCTACTCCAACGTCAAGAAAGCCGAAGAAGAGAAGAAGAAAGCCGCCTCATCCTCTTCCTCATCGAAGAAAGAGCCCGCCGTCGAGCTCCTCAACAACCCCTCCCGCCCCTCAGCCACGCGAACAGACACAGGCCAGTCCTCCGGCGCAGACGGCGACATAGAAGAAGGCAGCGTCGCCGAGCCCACCGGCGCCGAGTCTGACAACGAAGACGACATCACCGCCTCACCCCTCGCCCAGCAATTCGCCAAAATAAAAGCCGGAGACTGGTACGCGTGTCTCCAATTCCTCATGGCACACCCCGAGATCCTCGCGGAGAAAGAAACAGACGGCCTCCTCGTCGAAGCCTTCAACTCTGAACTCGACGGCAAGCCCAAGCACGCGCGGCAATGCGTGCACCAGGGTCTTCTTTTGCAGTATTGTAGGCAGCTGGGAGGCAGACAAGGCGTAGAACTCTTTTTCAAACGCATACAAATAAAAGACCACCAAGCCGGCAAAATGTTCAACGACGACGTCGACTCAACATACCACCGCATCAAGACGCGCGCCGCGGAGATCCTGAAAGAACGCGCCGAGAACCCACAATCCGAAGGCGCAGGCGTTGAGCAAATCCAACTCCACGCCGTAGACCCAGGCACCACCATCAACATCTCGGTGCCCCCCAAAGAATCCAGCGCCACGGACCCTGCAGAGAAAGAAGCAGAAGAACAAGCGAGACAGATCTTCGAGTCGTTCCCGCCGGGTCTGCAGCGTGCGTTGGAGAGTGGGAAGCTGGATGAGGTGAACAAGGTGTTGGCGAAGATGAGTGTGGATGAGGCGGAGGAGGTGGTGGAGAAGTTGGGGCAGGGGGGGATGTTGAGTCTTGAGGAGGGCGTGATTGATGCGACGACGGAGGAGGGGCAGAGGGTTATGGGCGAGATCGAGAAGAATAGGAAGATGCCGGGTCAGGGACAGGCGCAGGAGCAGGAGCAGGGGACTAGTAGGATTGAGGAGGTGGACTAGGGTGGGGATGGTATCATGAGTTATGGGAATGGAAATGGTATGGCATGGTATGGGATGATGGGTCCTGTAATTGTACATTATGATTGATGATGGTATCTGAAAATAAATGGTTTCGATCAAATCTTAATTGTGTCCCCTACTCGATGCTATAGCTTTGCCTTCGATCCAGTCCACCATCTCCCTTGTTATACCTGCGCCCATGCTGAGACCCCATCCATATTGTACATCGACACTTAAACCCTAGACGCCCTGTGCAGACTAAGTTGCAAGCCATGCAGTAGTAAATGCCACCCCCGCGCTACAACATATCCATTTTAAAACTACCATTCCACCCATTGCCCGCTCTAGCAATTTCCTTAAAGAATATGACACGAATCCTAGCTACCCCCAGTGCCCTCAAATCAGCTCAGCAAAGTTGTCGTCAATGCCAGCCATATCCCTGTCTCCAGCAAAAGCCGCAAAGTCATCCTCGCCGGCATTTCTGCTCATCTTCCTCTTCTTATGCGCATTCTCATACGCATGATGTTGTCCGTACACACCACCTTCAGCACCACCCATTGGCGCATGTTGTAGGCTCTTGAGTAGGTCTGCAGCTATGTGCTGGTTCGGCTCGCCGATGGCGGTCGCGTATTCGGGTTGGGTGGTGTGCTGCGCGGGGGCAGGGGCGGTCTCAGGTACGACAGGGTGGGCAGCGGGTTGCGGCATTTCGTCGTCGCGGATAGTGGGCACAGGGTCGTTCTGGGGGGCGGGTGCAAGGTGTGGTGAGCCGACGGGTGTGAAAGATTCCATGGGCGGGGGTGTGAGTTCCTCGACCTCAGGTCTTTCTTGCGCGCCTGAGAAGGTGGCTGCGACTGGGGAGGTTGTAGCGACTGGGAGGGGTGCGGTGGAGATTCTGTTCTGCTCTGCTGCTGACAGGCCCTTAAGGATAGCTTCCTCAACTGCGCGCTTTCGGCTTTCTATGGCGTCTTTGCGCGTCTTGAGGTCTGCTTCCTGCGCCTCTTCGTCGGCTAGCTTGTTCCTGTTCGCCTCGAGGAGGTGCTCTAGACCGGTGAGGAGAGCCTTGCGCGCCTTGATGCTCTCGGCGACAGCGCCCTCGGCCAGCGCAAGCTTCTTGCAGAGTGCAGCGAGCCCAGCCGCGTGCATTGGCGGGGATGGGATCGCGGCATTCGGGTTGGTGAGCTTCTCGTAGTCTTGGTTGGCGGTGGTGACGGCGGGTTTCGTCGCGGCATCGGCTTTCTGAAGCGCAGTTGCCAGAGGCGCGACCGGTGTGAGCTCAGGTGGGACTGACGAGCTCGAGAAGAGCGATCCACCTAGAGCAGGTTTGCGCGTAGATTTGGAGCGGTCCACCTCGTCTATCGACCTCTCCACCGCCTGCTGCACAGCCAAGTTGAAGATGTTGCGCTGCCTCCAAACCTCGACGACCCTTCGAATCTTGTTTTGTATCTCGTGGGGGGAGCCCTTATAGGCTGCTGTCGTCGCTTCGGCGAGAATGGGTTCGTATGCGCGCAGGAACTCCTCCTTCTTGCGCATCTTGGAGGTTTGTGTGATTTCGTTGGCGAGATAGATGAGCACCAGTTTCTTATTCGGGGGCGACTCCTTCATGCGTTGTAGCCATACATGAGCGATGCGCTCGGCATGTCGTCTGTACACGTGACGTTAGTATATGGTTCCAAAGTGCATGACAAAACTCGCAATCCATGGATTCGACGCGTGATGCATGCAGCAAACTGGAGTCTTGGCAGAGATGGGATGCTTTACCTGTGGAAGAGGATCCATTGGCCGACAGTGGAGATGGCCTCTTGGGTCTCATTGAGCGATGAGAGCTTAGCCTTGAGGCTGTCCTCGGTGAAAGCCATGATGGCGCTGGAGGTCTTCACGAATATATGCGACAGCTACTGAAGAATGATGCGCACGCGAGCAGAAGACAATCACCTAGCGGAAGTGCGCGTGATGGTAACAGATGGAATGTAACCTTCAGCGTGCGATTTGCGCTCTGCAAGTGTTCGCGACTACAGTGTCCAGATGATGACGTGTGTTGGAGATGGAATGGGTGGAAGAGTTCCAGGTGAGGGAGCACTTGAGAGCTAGGGACGCTAGGTGGTATGCGGCTAAACGTGGCTCCGCCGCGCCAAGCAGCTCCCTGGCTGGCCGTCACCAACGGTAACTATCCAAGACGCAACAACAAGACACTTGTACGCAAACTGCTGTCGCCAAACTTATCTCCGCTCCTCCCACCACATCCCCCACACCCTCCACACCCACAATGGCAGACCGCTTCCCCTCATTAGACGAGATTGACGCCGGTGAGCTCAGCTATGGTCCCCGAAGCACCTCCGCACCGCATACTAAACCAAGCAGGCCAGACCGAAGCGCGCGGCGATGCGGCAGACTTCGACATTGGCGGCGGCGACAACGATGCCAGCAACTTCCTCGACCGTGAACGCGCGCTTCTTGGCGACGATGCCGACCAGTTTGCTTCGGAAAACGACAGGGCAGCGACGGTCGAGGATGGCGACGACGACCTGCTTGGGGGAGACTTCAGCCAGGCCAACGTCGGCGGCCAGGAGATGAGCGGCTTCGAGAGCTCCTTCCCCGCCATTGACACGACCAACGACGTAAGCACGCCTGCTTCTTTAGCCAAGGCATGGTTGCGATCTGGCATGTTCAAAAGTGACGCGCCAGTCGAGGCCTGAATTGAGCATGGAACAATCACCATTCCGACGGTATACTGACTCCAGCAGCACATGGCTCCCGGCGGCACCATCACAGGATCAGGCCTACCCTTCCTCCCCGGCCAACCAGCCCCGTCCTTCACCCCACAGCGCTCAGACTCGCCCGAACCCGACGTCATCCGCGAATGGCGCGAGCGCCGCGACCTCCAGATCCAGCACCGCGACGAGGTCTCCCACGACCGCAAACAGAAAACCATCCAGGAGGCGCAGCAAAACATTGACGACTTCTACGAGAACTACAACAACAAGAAGGACAAGGAGATCGCCAAGACACGGAAGGAGGCTGAGGAGTTCCTTGCAAACCGCGACGACACCACTGCAGGCGGTACGAGCTGGGAGCGCATCGCCAAGCTGGTCGATCTGAGTGGAAAAGGCACCAAGGGCGGCGCGTCAGGCAGCGAGAAGGCCCGCTTCAGGGAACTGCTGCTCAGTCTGAAGAAGGACGAGAAGGCACCCGGTGCGACTGGATACTAGACGGAACGACGACATGGGTAGATGGCTATCTTTTTTGGAGCTCAGGGCAATGGTTTGGCATACGAATGAGCGTGTCTACGGCCATAAAACTTGGAGTTCACGGATTAGGTTGCAGGGTACTTCATGCAGCTGTGTTAATACTTACTCTCTGATTGCTTACCATTGCTTGTGGTTTTCGGTCATCAGTCTTCAGCACGAGGATCATCGAGCAAGTACTTGATATTTGCTAATGTGGTATATAGGCAGTGAGATGTTGAGCCTGGACATCTAGCATTCAACAGTATCGACCATGAAGATGGACTCTCCACTAGAAGTTGAGCTAACTGATGCTCTCAAAGACCATATGACCCCCAATGTCAAGATCGAGTACGGACACCCAGACAATCCCAAATACCGCTTCCGCGCTCACAAAGATGTTCTCTCCAACAACTCAGCGACCTTCAAGAGAAAATTCAACTCCCAGGAACTAGTAAGTCAAGTTAACCATCACTTCCTTGTTTCCGTCCATGTAAGATCCTTGCTCTCTAACCTGTCAAGGACATTGGATCTACCATCGCTATTGCTTATGAAAATGTCGAAGCTATCGAAGATATGCTACGCTACTTTTACCTCCAGACCTACGATCCGCGTCTTCTTCCCTCGCCCCCGATGCCTAGCATGCAATAGCGCAGGAGGCTCGCCGCTCATCACGCCGACGTTTACGATCTGGCACGTCAGAAGGTGTGCGGTGTCAGTGGCCTGGCTGGGCTCGTTCATGCGCAGTTCCAGACAGGCGCTGATGAGGCCTTGACATGGCTGGACGAGCCGCGCAACAATACGGCAAAGAACGCTGTGCGGTTGCTCCGAATGTATGTCGATCTGATATACGAGAAGGACGACAATACTTGGGAGAGCTTCCAGGGTCAAGATATACCGGATATGATCACGTCCTGGCCTCTACGAGGTTTGGTTTGCGAAACTGCCGCTAGGATCTGGGTGAGAGCGCAGCGATGGACCGCGACGCCGGCTGCTGGTCAGGTTGGAGTCCAGGAACGAGGCGAAGAGGAGGTTACGATTAATCATGGGGACACAGGTGAGGATGTTGTGAAGGAAGAGCTCGCGAAGTTGTGCTGGAAGTATGCGCATTTCGCACAGGACTTTGCAAGGTGGATGTTGATCAAGGGGGAGGTGAGTATCACATTGGGCCACAATGTCATGGGAAGTACTAGGTAGATGGTAGAGGTATGCGGACATGCGCTTCCAGAGTATCTAGGTAGAGTAGAGTAGCAACAGCCACCTAGACACTCAACGCAACAACAACCATCTGATACAACTCCAAACAAGCAAACAAACCCGTGACTTCCGCAGGATTCCCATCCCCACGGTTCAGCCAAAGCCAAGCCCTTGACCAGCCCATCGCAATCTAACCACAGCGCCATCACCAAACCCTCCCCAACCCCGCGGGCCGCATCGCAACAGTCCCGCAGCACCAGCAATCTAAACGTCGTTCGACAATGCCATGTAAAGTGGCCATCGTGACACCACGTCGACCGGCAACCCGGCTTTCCTCTATATAACGACTATATTAATTTCTCCGAGGTGCAGGATGGGGCCTTCCCTGGTACGGCACTTGGGTAAACGAACATCCGCAGATGCCCAGGTGTTAATATCGAATCTGAGACAACCACCAAGAAGATTGAGTTGGTGTCCACCAATTGCGTGAATCGCAAGCGTTGGTTGATTATTGAACATGTTCTGTGCGTCATGTTTCACAAGAAAAAAAGGTCGAGACGCTTCTAAACTTTTCCAACGCGAACGAACCCGTGCCCTGTGACGCCGCATCACAACGCCAGAACGAGACTGTTCACCCTCACGAACAACATATGATGGCATTCCAATAGAAAAAATGACGTCTGACAAGAGAATCCACCATCGACTCATTTCGCTTACCTCCTCTCCGTTCCCTCAACGGGCCCAACGGCTCCTTCCAGCCTGATCCAGCCACGCCTGGCAGCCTCATAGGGGAAACAGTGGAGCCGCCCAAGGCCTCGCTAGCGCGCCTTGATTAATCTACGCACCCTCCTTTCATGATCGCCCTCCAGCATGTGGCCATCGCCATGGCAAGCCAGTGCAAGTTTCAAACAATCATCTCGATGCTTGGTGGGAGTTGGTGCCTTGGATCGGAATCCCATGGTGACGCAACTGCGCTCCTGTGTCGTGGAGTAATTACCAGCCGGAGACTACTTACTATAAGACATGCCTCTGTCAATCTATACTTTCGGCATCTAGGTCACTCGGTACCGGTCGTCTGTCTAACTCCATCGTCGTCTATTCACTCGTTTTTTTGTGTCTTGTTCAAAACTTATAAGTCGTTCTGTTCTTTCTCTCCATCTTCGGATCATCAACACGCTCGATACGCAGGATCGTATCTTTACAGCACGCAACACGTCCAATCTTCGTTTCTTTGATACCCCCACACAAATTCGAATCGAACCGACTTTACCATCTTCTTCAAAATGAAGTACATCACCTCCGCCCTCGCCTTCGCGACCGCCGTCGCAGCCCACGGCTACGTCAACAACGCTACCATCGGCGGCAAAGAATACATCTTCTACCAACCCTACCAGGACCCCTACATGACGGACGTGAAGCGCATCTCGCGTCCGATCCAAGGCAACGGCCCCGTCGAGGACGTAGCCATCTCCGATATCCAATGCGGCGGCTACGCAGCCGGCGGTATCAACGGCTCCAAGCCCGCTGCTCTCCACGCCGAAGCCGCAGCAGGTTCAGACGTTGAGCTCTACTGGACGCTCTGGCCAGAGAGCCACATGGGTCCTACCATCACATACATGGCTAAGTGCCCTGATGCTGGATGCAATGACTGGATGCCTGAGTCAGCGTAAGTCATTTAACTATCCTTTACACCATCGTGTTATACTAACACCCTCACCAGTGCAGTCTGGTTCAAAGTCCAAGAAGACGGCCGCCAAGGCACCTCTGACATCTGGGGCTCCGACGCCCTCCAAGTCCCCGGCGGCTCTGTCACATACACCATCCCCAAGTGCATCACCCCAGGCTACTACCTCGTGCGTCACGAAATCGTTGCGCTGCACGCTGCCTACCAGTACCCTGGTGCGCAATTCTATCCTGGGTGCCATCAACTCAAGGTTACCGGAGGTGGATCTACAAAGCCGAGCGGGCTTGTTGGTTTCCCTGGTGCGTACAAGGGGAGCGACGCCGGTATTACTTATGATGCTTACAAGGCGGCTACTTATACGGTTCCTGGGCCTAAGAAGTTTACTTGTTAGATGGGGTGAAGGTGGCTGGGGACTCTGAGATGGGAACCCTGGAATGGGAACCCTCAAGTACAGTACCCTGAGACGGGTAACAAAACGCTTCTTTGTATATATTTGCAGTCGTATATAGCTGTCGTCATGAATGCATCTCTGCATCACATCTGGAAATACTTGTGTCTGTTTGTTCTGCATCGTGTCGTGCCGCGTAGTTGGTTCTTGTCATAAGTTGTTTGCGATATCATCATTTCGTTCGAAAAGATCCAATGTTATCGACATTTGCGCAGACGCTTCATCAATCGTAGGGGATAGCTGATCGTTGCAGAATCGTGTGCATGCGTGACCTTCGCTGTTGCACTGCGGTCCCTACAATGGCCGTGTGCTTGCTTGATGCGCTGGTAGATGCAGCGTCGCAAAGCGCATATTATGGCATCGAATGTGTCGAATTTCAAGGGTGCAATGAAATTAGCGTCTGTATTGCAGTAATGAATATCCTGGTGTAAGATGCAGTAACGCCGCTGCTGAGTAACTATTGCGTTTGATGGCCGCGATTTAGGTACTTCTCCTATCCCTTCTGAGTCCATAGCATGCCATCGAAAATGCTGACGAGCGTACCAGGCAGGTCTTCGACATCCGTTGTGTCCCTACTGCGGTGTCTCTATGGCTACCTTCGGATTTCGTTGCAAATATCCTATCTCGACATCTGTGCCGCGGACGTCGAATAACTCTTTCTTTTTTCCTGACGGCAACAACTTCCCTGATTCCATCCCGTTCACTCCGCGGAGGCAGGGCACTTCCTTTTATCCTGGTTGTGGGCTCAGAAATCTGGTCAGATGAACAATCATCTCGGGCCTTCTCTGGTGCTTTTGCGCGTGGAGGGGAAGCGTTCTCACTTCCCCGTCAGCCGTATATCCGCCACCCTTACGTGTCCGAGCCTGATTCGCACTAAAGGGTCTGCATCTTTCATCTGATTGTCAGGCACCTCGGTTGTGCATCTTTATCAGATGCGTGTACCAGAGTGAGTGCGATCACGCTTACCACGGTACTGACGGGTGCAAAGCCTATCTGGGCTACCAGTACCCGATGCTCTTGGATTGGCTGCTTCGTTTTGGTTCTGCGTTGTCGACGTCGGCCTTACCTCGTACTATGAATTCGAGGGTGTGAGCAGGAGCGGTTGTAGATGACTGAAAGCGGTAGCGCCCTGTACGATCGGTGAGGTTTGATCAGCGCTGTGTGCTGTCGCATCTGCGAAGACGCATCAAGGTCAGCGAAACCTGAAGGTCGCATCTTGGTGTTGAACGTGGCTAGTAACTCTCGAAGGATATGGGGAAGAGCGCCACTTTCCGGTCAGTCTAGAAGGATGTCTTCAGCTACTATATCGAAAATGGTACACCGTCTGGAGGTGGAAGCAGCCCAGCGTGGGCTTGCGCCAGTCTAAGTGCCAGGCTGATCGCCGGCCCTAACGGACGGGTCCGCACATGGCTTCGGCACTATTTTGAAACCGCCGAAAGGAAGAGGTACCTTCTGGAAAAGATCAGAGATGTCAGGTTCGCTTGGAGAAACGAGACGAGTCAGCAAACGCCCGGACAAAAGGCGCATGGTGCAGATGAAGCAAGAACTTCTGACGTCCTTTCTGCGTACTTTCGGCGATGCTTTGAAGAGGCAATTGCTAATGCGATTGCGGTTGGAATCGCGGTCAAGGTGATGTGAAGAGCAAGCGGTAGTCCAAGGGCTTGCGCTGCAGCTAGCAATGCGATGATGCCCACAGTGGGCCCTAGACGCCGGTTCTGCTCCTTCCCCGACTCACATCTGCGCCGTCCAAGCTAACCTTCGAGTGCTAACACGCCCGACAGCCCGAAACAGAATGACGATGCACCCATGTCGTCTGTGATGATGGATGAGGCAGCTGCAAGCGATATCGGTATATTTCATCGCAGAGCCTTGGAGCCTGAGGATCTTCATCTTACGACGCATCGTCTTCCGTCGTAGCCGTGAACGCTTGACAAACGTTAAAGACCAGGGTTTCTGGTAATTTGTCCAACGGCTCTGCTTCGTGCTCAACTCCGTGCCAGGCGGACTTAGTCGAACAGGAAGACCCTGGAATTAGTCGATGGGTGAATAGCCGCGAGCTTCCACCGCTCTTTCGGATCTTGCCAACACTCCTAGACGTCTAGCGAGTATTCCACATCCTGGCCTTGGTACCATCATCATGATCACCTGGCCATGTGCATACTTAGGCGACGCTCCTGATCCATGCTTCGTCCTGGCTGGTTGCAGAAAGACGATCCGTGCTGCTGTTTAAATCGGGTCCTCGAAGATATGTGGCGCGCACCAAGGCGCGCGACTAAGGCACAGTTTGAGAGGTGCAAGAGGCCCAGCGCAATGGTAATGAAAAGCAAATCTCCGTGGGCGATCTGGTCAGGTTCGTGTTACATGTGCATTGGTTGTTGCATGTATGCCGACGCAGGCATGTCCGCGGGTGTCGCTTATGCTACTCGTCTAGGCAAGATGACACAGCGCGGGACTGATTTCTGATAAGCTGTCGACGAGACTCTCGTTCTCAAAGTATATTGTCGAGTATACGAATCCCGAGTAAATCATGGCCGATGTTTCAGTCCAGAGTCAGGGATCAAGGTTTCGGATGAAAGCTCCCGCCGCGGTTCATGGAGCGACTCCGAAGTGTGCGTTCCGTGGGAGCCCAGCCAGAAGCTTACAAAATTTCCTGATATCATGCTCGTCAGATCTGTCCCTCGGCGAAGGTACGTCGTATCAAAATAGCCGCGCGGACCAATAGAGATCTTCCTCCTCACCGCCTGGACGAAGTTTTCTTACGAACAGTCAGGGGGTACCGGTTACAGGTAGACCGTAGTAACACCCGAGTCGTACCGCTCGTGAGCTCACGCAAGGCAAGCCGCACTTCCATCTGCGTGCGTCATGGCTCCAAAGAATGTGTTAGACCGCGGCAGTTTCCTGCCCGGACATTGAGTAAGGGCTCCTCGCTGCCCAGGTGAGGCGCGTTGAGTAATCTACCGTGCCTCGCGACACATCGGCTAAACGTCGACAGTCAGCTATCAAGAAGCTCATCCATGCCGCTTCGACAGGCGTCACAAGCGTCTCATGAGGTGGGTTACATATTGTTCCCAGGGCTGAGTATACCCCAGTCAGAAATGCAGAGTAAACGGCCCGCCACCTTGGGTCGCCGAAGCGGCACCACTCTTCTTGGCCCCAGCACGCTACTTCCTTCAAACGTTCGGCACCAGTCTTCGTGCGCAAATGACAGTACCGTAAACCCACAATCGCTTCAGCGACTCCAGGATCTGCCCGTCTGCGCAAAGAGGCTGAGTGTTTGCGATTGGCTGCGTTTTCGCACCCTGTCGTCCCACTCCTTACTTGCTCTTTCCCACGTTCACGCCTCTAGCAACACACTCCGCACGTGTCATCATGGCAAACGCTGTAAAATTGCTACCCTGAATGTAGGTCGCATCTCGCAACTTGATACTACTGGACCGTTTTGGGCACCCGTTGGTCGCACGGTTGGCTTTTCCTTTAGTCAGGTTATTCATATAGCCACTACCCGTGGACATGTCTCCCATGCCCCTACATCATTCACCCGACCACGTACCCTTTCCACATCCAGTATCGACTCCCTGGTAGCTGGGTTTGTGGATCCACGCCGTGGCTGTCAATCCTCCTAGTGTGTCTCCGCTGACGGCCCACCGTCTTTTACACCCTTCTAAATTCCTTCTACGCTTCCGTCGCCGAGACCCTTCTTGTTTCTCTTCAACTTCTCATGCTCGTTCGTTGATCACCGGTATTAACCATGGGCTTCAATTCAGACTCCAAAGAATTGGGACCGAGTGAGCCACGAGCGCTCCAACCTACCGTCTCCAGTCAATCGAAAGCAGCAGAAGCAGGGCATCACCAGAACCGAAGCATCATGGCAACCATCGCAGACGACGACGACCGCCTACTTGTGCGCATTGGATACACTCCTGTAAGCGCTCCAAGTCATTCACTCGACCACCTTCCAACAGTCTCCACAGGTTCTACAAAGACATTTCTCGAGATGGTCTACAGTCTCATATGCCATCTCGATTCTAGGAGTATTGGGCTCAGTACCCGCTACCTTTGGTGCACCAATGAGCTCAGGTGGCCCAGCAACGGCAGTATGGGCTTGGTTCATTGGCAGCATCATGGCATACTGCATCGCCAGTTCAGGTACGTTTGCAACATGCATAGAAGAGTCTTAGCTAAGTCTCGTCAAGTTGCCGAACTGGTCTCAGCATATCCGACAGCGGGAGGCATGTACTATGTCACAAAACACGTTGTACCACCTGAACACGTTGCAGCCTGGGCGTGGATCATCGGTTGGTGCAACTTCCTTGGACAAGCCGCCGGCGTTGCAAGTCTGGCGTATACAATCTCCCAGATGATATTGGCGACGGTTGTCATGCACACGCTAGACAATGGAGAGTCTGCCTTTACGCCGTAAGAATCACCCCACTTGGGTCACCTGCAGCAGCTTACCGATCAATGCAGGCAAGCATATCAGACCGTCCTTCTCGCTATTTTCGTGTTGTGCATGTTTGGCACAATCTGCTCGTTCCCCACGAATTGGCTTCACCGCATTATCTTGTGGTTCGCCCCTATCAACAGTACGTCGACGAAGGATTCGTTGTTGAGCGCCGTCTGACAGCAAATAGTCATCGCATCAATCTGTATCTGCATCGCTCTTCTCATTCTCACGCCGAACAAGCAAAGCCCACAATGGGTGTTCACAACAGTCATGGATGGCTCAGGCTGGGGAAGCAAGGGTTTTTCATTCCTCCTTGGGTAGGTCCAAACCAACACTCGCATAGCGCCAGACCACTGACTAGTCCCAGCTTCCTTTCCGTTGCATGGACGATGACTGACTACGACGGCACGACACAGTAAGTCAGCCCTACGACTCCGCACATGAGCCAATCTAATCAGCGTTACACAGTATGTCGGAAGAGACCCACGATGCCGCTATTCGCGGCCCTGTAGCGATCCGCGCTGCGATCCTCGTCTCCGGTGTCGTCGGTTGGATGCTAACCGTCACCTTCTGCTTCTGCATGTCAGACTACGATGCGATTATGGCCACGCCGACCGGTCTGCCAGTGGCCCAGATCTTCTTCAACGCCGGCGGCAAAACAGGTGGAACCATCATGTGGTTCTTCGTCATGTTGGTCCAGTTCTTCACCGGCTGCTCCGCCATGTTGGCGAATGCTAGAATGGCTTGGGCCTTTTCCCGCGACGCAGCCTTCCCATTCTCGGGGTGAGTTTCCGCTTCCAGTCGGCGCTAGTATTGAGGGGTGCTGACTTTGCATAGTTTCTGGAGCAAGATCAATTCCTACACGCACACTCCGGTCAATGCGGTATGGCTCGTTGTGCTGTTCTGCAGCTGCCTCGACCTAATCGGCATCGGAAGCACTCTTACCATTACGGCTATCTTCAACATCACCGCCCCGGCCTTGGACATCAGTTACATCGCAGTCATCATTGCACACCGATGGTACGAGAATACTGTCACTTTCCACCCTGGACCATACACAATGGGCAGATGGAGCAAGCCGGTCAATGCGATTGCAGTGACATGGGTCATCTTCATCAGTGTTGTGTTGTTCTTCCCGACTGTCAAGCCAGTCAGGGCCGACAACATGAACTACGCTATCTGTGTGGCAGCCTTCATTGGCCTGTTTAGCACGGTTTGGTGGTATGCGGGTGCAAGGAAGAAGTACACCGGCCCGCGCACAAGCGACACCATCGACATGCTTCCACCGGAGGATCCAGAGGACATCCTCAGCGACTACGAAAACAACGTCTAGTGCACAGCTCCGCACCGCACTCACCTATCCCTATTTGAGAGCGCATGGCCGCCTCGAGCATTACGACTTTAACGACCTCAGACCCTTTGAGGGCAACATTCGCAAACGGATTTCCATTTCCAGGAGTTTTACGGTGGCGGGCATATTTTATCTCGGCGTTGGTCCACATTTGGGTTCCATTTCTTTCATCATTTTCTTTCGAACAAACGGAGTCACCACCTAGAAGGGAAGAGAGATCAAGGGTCACTCCCATTCACTTGCGCAAGATACCTATAGATCGGATGATATACCCCCCAAGCAGCCAGCCACACGCGTACTCGATAGCAAAACTACGCCAATGTCCTTATTATTTAGCGCAATATACTCCATTAACATTACAACCATCTACTTTCAGTAATTCCCCCCATCGTCCTCGGTTCGCATGGTCACTACGTGGGTGTCAATGGTCACAGGGTTGCCTCTGCTGTTAGCGTTGCAGCTTCATGCAATGCAGGTCATATTTGGTCCGCCCACCCGCGATTAGTCGCACACCACCAATGGCAACAAATGCACCATCTTTTGCTTTTTTACATCCTCTTGTATGGATTGATCGGTATATAGAGGGCGTAGTTCGCCTGCTTACGTGACCCTGCACTGCTAGGACACTGTACATATGCAGGCCTAGCGGGATCGAGGCTGTCATCGGCAACTTCGCATTATGGCACCCCTTTGGATCCCTGGCCGGTCGGTTAGAATTACGGGAAGAATGCTATGCGGGAGGGTTACTGAATGAGTGACACGGCTAAGAAGAGATCTGTAGCTACGACGCTGCAGGATCTGAGGTGGTGGAGCGACGTGTACTCGCACGTTACACGGGCGTAATCTTATACGAGCCGTACAGAATCTGGAACAGTCATCCTAAATCGCGTGCATCTGCACGTGATTGGACCAGAAAGACAGGATCTATGCTCTACCGGATTTAGAGGCCTTTACAACAAATGGTACCACAACGCATTCATCCCACTAATCAGCGAACTCAGCCCACAGAAAACAACAAGTCCACCATAACCATTTCCATAGCCCCCAATCGCCTCGTCTTTCCAAGGCATGCCGCCAACAAGCGCCTCACTCATCGGCCCAGCAACAATATTCCCAACTCCCCTAGCAAGACAGAATAGCGAGAATATGAGGATGGTATCCACATGTCCCATCCCCCTCGACTCGCCCTTCTTCGCCATCTCCCTCATGACAGCTGGCCATGCTGCTGGAAAGCCGCCGGCAAATAAACCAAACAAGATGCAGAAGATGTATAGAACAGCGATGTGTGTAGCCAAGCCCCAGAAAAGAAAGACAGAGAGAGTAGCGCCAGTGGTGGAGACCGCAATGCAGACCCGTGAGTTGAAGCGGTCGGTCATGTACCCCATGATGGTGAGACCGACCATAGCGGATACATTGAGTAACATGAGTGAAGCCGTAGACAACCAATCCGACGCACCGAACACCTCGCGGGTGAAAGAAGGGAGGTAAATACCAGGGAGATAGTACCCCGCGCCCTGAACGAAATTAGCAAGTTGATGTAGAAGAAAAGATCTCGAGCACATGAGCTTCCAGTTCCAGAACCTCTTCTCCCCAGTACCGCTGTCTGTGACCGGAAGTCTCGGTCTAACAAACCACGCCAACGGTATACCAGCGCTAAACATCACACCAGCCAAAACCCGCATCGTACTCGGGTATCCCACTTGCTCCAGCAACGCGTTGATCAAAAGAGGCAGAATCAACCCCCCACACCCACCACCCGCACCAATAACTCCAAACGCCAACCCTCTCCTTTTGTCGAACCACTGTTCTGCGAAGACCAACAGCGGACAAAACGCTACACTACCTAAGATACGTGTACTTAGTTAGTCAAAGTCTCATATGCCGTTCATACAGTTACAGTGACGTAACTTACCACTCACACCCTGCAGCACACCCTGCGTAAACACAAGCTGGCTTGTGCTAGTACAGAACGAACTAGCTATGTTCGACACAACACAACCGAGCAGACCTGTCATCGCCATCCAGCGTGCGTAGCCCGGTTTCCGGCGCGCGAGATACAGGACGAGGGGGAGGAAGATGAGAATGAGTGATTGGTTTAGGACGCCGATTACGGCGGCGAAAGAGGAGGTGGAGGAGGAGTGGGTGTTGGACGAGAAGGGGGCGTGTGTGGTGTAGTGGGATTGGAAGCGGCCGTAGGAGAAGGATTGGCCTGGGGGTTAGTGTCAGTATTAGGAGTGCGTGTGTTGTTTGTTCAGGGACGAGGGACAGGACGGACCGATGGTTAAGAATTCGATGGCGAAGGCTGCGGTGAGGAAGAGCCAGGCGTGTTTTCCTTTGTCCATGGGTGGGAGGGTTGGAGGGAGTACGGAAGGGGTCTCATGGAGTTGTGAGATGTGTTTCTCTTCGACGTCTCTTCGTGGGGATGGATCTTGGTCGTTTGGTTTAGCAACAGTCGTTGCGGGTGTGCTTTCGATGGGATCGTTGGACATGTTCCCGGTTGCCAGTACGTGGTTTAGATATAAGGGGAGAATGTGATGGGTATCAATTAGCTGTACTTGCTGATGTCCTAATGGATCTTGCTATCGTAAGGGTACCGTCGCAACAAGTAGTGTCCGCGTCGACTAGAAGTGAATATACAACTCCCATATTTGCAACATACTACCTTATCCGCACACGCCTTGCGCCCACACGCCTTACGCCTACAATCCTTCCCATTCTCAACCACTCTCATGCGGCGTTTGGTCCACACGCCCTACGCATCTGCAGGACACTCTTGGCAACCATTCCATTCACCCGCAACACCTTCACGCAACACATCATCCAATCATCATCCAACACAACCAATTGCATATAAACTTGTATTGATGCATATCCAGGTCTACTCTGGAAGCCAATGGGGTATTCTAACTGTGTCGCAAACATGACTTATAAATCTCGATAGATGATGGCAAGAGAAAAGGAAAATGTGGGTGTAAAGAATGAAGAACCTTGACATGATGGAAGAAACTTTTAGTCCGTTATTTCCCTTTCGTCGATGGTTGTTCTGGCGTAAATGTCGTTGCGTTAATGATTATGTTTTGCGCTTGCGCAGTGTCTGCGAGGTGTGTCGAGACTCCTCTTTCTTTTCTGCTTGCGCGTGGTGTTTGTTTTCTTGTGCGACGTTCTCAAAGCTTTGGGCGCGTCGTGTGCTGCGATGCCGTGTAAGGTGTCATGCATGGCACGTTGTTCCTCGGTAGGCTATGACGCTGTCTTCTCTCTGTTGGTCCGACCGGATAGGTGTCCATACATCGATAGTCGTCGACCCGTAGGTACAGGAGCAGCTTCGCCCGAGGAGCGTCTATGACCGTCCAGTTCCCATACGGCTCAGTTCCTTTATCCGTATAGTAGAAGGCATCTTGCTGAAGCGCTTGCTACTTGAGGTGGTGGACGAGTTTGCCGAGGAAGGAGCCGAGGCATAGACGTACTCGCCGTCAACGTATTGCGCTTCGCTGATAAAGGTCGTGCGCTTCTCGCGACGTGTGTAACGCTGTTCGAGGCGGTAGAGCTCGAGGCCTGGATTGGGTTCTTGTTAGTCTACTGTCGCAGGTGTGAAGGTTCGAGACTAAGGTAAGATGGGACGAAGCGAGGTAAGACATACGAGCTTGCATCTTCTCAATGAGACCCATTGTGTATTGTGTGAAGTTTGTTGTGCCGCGCGCCGAGGAATATTGTGTTTGTGTCTGTGTCGAAGAAGGAATACCAAGGAGAGGCGGATCGTAGATACGGCACGGTTGTGATGTCGCAATGTGTTCGCCGGCTAGTTCCCTGCTGCGCTGTTGCAGATGCCGTATCGGATTGAGGTCGGACCAGGTACTCGAATTATGTTATAATAATGCGCTTCACGCCCGTAAGATTGGTACTCAGATTATGGGAGGGTAGATAGCGGGTAAACGAGTGTAGAGATGCGGCGCGGGAGGGGAACGATGTGATGAAAAAGGAACGGATGGCTGGTAAAAGACGGGATTAACGACTACGGTACGCGAGTTCCAAGAGGAAGGAGGGCCTTCCCTCGGATAGGTTGTTGGGGCGGGACAGTTGCTAGGCGTTCCAGGTTTCATGCGCGGGCAGTTCTCGAATCCCAAGTTGCATGATTTGGGGTTAGTAGAGCCGAAAGTCAAAACATACCAGGCCTAGAAAAGCCATCGTGTCCGTGTCGCGGAACCGTGAGTCGTGGACCGCTTTCGCCATTGCGCGGCTTGCTTGCATCGATATTCTTCATTGCGGGGTGTAGCGGCTTACTTGCTTGACAGCTGGGCAATCTGTAAGCATAGCCGTCGCGGAAACCTCTCCGAAGGCTCCAAAACCCTGGATTTCCTAGAGTTCGCATCCAAAGGTTCCCGGTTCTCGAGTCAGGGTCTCACGTGGTAATCAGGGGTCTTGGGCGAGACCCCAGAACGTGCCGGCGCCACCGCCTTGGCAACCGGCGCTCGTCCCAGGGGCGCATTGCTAATCCTCGTGCAGCACAATTCATCCGCCGGGTAGCAATCGGCATGGCCGATCACAGAACAGAAACGTTTCTTTTCCTAGGACAACGAGAACCACCATGACATAGGATCTGATTGCTTCTCCAAAACTTGATGCCCAAAAAATTCCGGGATCGCCATGCCGCATACCGTAGATCTACAGCCTCACCATGCTCCGTGCTCCATTACAGTTGAAATTGTCCGACCATGACCTCATGCGATTACTCGAGACTCCGGGACCGTGCCATCGACCACAGCAATCGCGCCAACATTGCCTGCATCTGCGGATCCGTTCAACAACGAAACGACAGAGATGACATCCGAAGGCTCAAGCAGATGCCAGCTAGCCAGCGTCTGCTTCGAGCTGGCGCCAACCGTGACCGAGAAGACGTGATCAGTGGGCAGTTTGGACTGGCGCAGCGATCGGAACATGTCTGTTGATATTAGCGGGTGGACAGCGCAGCCACAAGTGCAACACATACCTTCATCTGTGAAGTCGTCGCCCATGCAAAGAACAAACTCAGGCGCATTGCCGCTACCTTCGCCGTAGTTCTCTACAAGCGTCTTCGCGATCTCGCCCTTGTTCACGAACCTCGGGCGAACTTCAAGATTGGCTTTACCCGTCATGACCTCGACGTCGTGCTTCTTTGCGACCGTCCTCTCGAGATGCTTCTGGCACTCACGCGCCTGGAATGCACCGTATTCGGGATCCGCTCTCCGGTAGTGCCACGTCAGGGCAATCTTCTTGCGTTCGATGAATGAGCCTGATCATCTGTTAGTGCTAGACCATTCAGTTTAGAGTGTAAGAGCTCACCTTGGGTCCTCTCTGTGTAGTGCTGGAATACGTCAATAACCTCCTGCTGCCAGCTCATGTCGGTTGTCTCGGTGAGATTATGCCATTCCTGACTACGTGGATGCCTCATGAAGCTTCCATGCTCAGCACTCAGACCCAACTCGGGAATGTGGCCCATCCATTCGTCCAGGAAAGCCTGGTCTCTGCCGCTGATGATCCAAACAGCATTCGCAGGGTCCGCTGCTAGAGTCTTGAGGGTCCGGATAACCCGATCGGATGGAATGGCTGCCTGTGGGTCTTTGACAATGGGTGTCAGAGTGCCGTCGTAGTCGAACATGAAGAGTCGCTTCTTGGCTTCACGGTACTGGAAGAGTAATTTAGCTCGGTCCAGTGCTGGCGTGGCGAACGCTTGGTCGAAAGCTGACAGATTCGTCATCAATCGCTTCAGGTAGTTGTTCGACCAAGCCTGGACATTGTTTTGCACAACATGATTGTAGAGTTGAGCGTGCGTCTCGGCACGAACTTCGTCACTCTGGTTCAGAGCGTCGTTGATCGCATCTGCAACTCCGCCCATGTCCCAGGGGTTGATGTGGCTTGCGTTGTGCAAGGAACTCGCTGTACCAGAGAACTCCGAAAGAATGAGCGGTCCGTGATTATCCTTTTGGCAAATGATGTATTCCATACTTGTCGTGTTCATACCGTCTCGCACGCTGGTGATGAGGCCGATATCTGCAAGTCGAAGCAGAGCAAAGTATTCCTCCCGGGAAAGATATTGTGGGAAATGCCGGACCGGGGTGAAGTCTAGGGTTCCGTAGGTGCCGTTGATCTTGGCCGCAAGGTCCGAGATCTTGTTGACCACCTTTTCCTGTGCGCCATCACTTCTATCGGTATGGACTCCGCTAGGACTTGTGACCTGGATGAGGACTACTTTGCCAACCCATTCGGGATACTTCTGAAGGAAGAGCTGGAATGCCTGGAGCTTCTGGACCACTCCGCGAACCGCATCTAGCCTATCACGACCAACAATGAGCTTCTTGCCAGCATACATCTCGCGGATGTCTTTGAGTTTATGTTCAATCTCCGGGTCGCCAAAAGCCTGTCGCTGTGTGGAGACTGCGTTAATTCCGATGGGGAACACGTCGACTGCTACATGCGCGCCGTAGGCATCGACTCCAGTGGAAGACGAATCGAAACCCAGTATCCTAGTACAGCAAGACGAAAAGTGCCGCGAGTAGCTGTATGACTGGAAGCCGATCATGTTGGCACCCAACACGCCCTCCAGGATCTCTTTCCGTCTGCTCAGGCAGCGGTAGAACTCGCTACTTGGGAAAGGGATGTGCAGGTAGAAGCCAATGTAGATGTTGGGTAGACGTTGGCGAAGGAGACTTGGTAAGAGCATCAGGTAGAAATCGTGTACCATAACGATGTCGCCCGGCTTGTAGACCTCGAGGATCCTGTCTGCGAAGAGCTTGTTCATGCGGTAGTAGTCAGCCCATGATTTCCGGGCAGCGCGCCCATCAGCTGGCTCATTTTGCTTGTAGTGGAACAGGGTGTAGAGCTCGTGCTCGGCATATGTCCTCCAATGGCTCTGGTTCTTCAGGATGTATTCATCTTTGCCATCATCCACCTCGTCGACAAGCCACACTGGCACAATCCTGCCTCCGTGGTCGCGTTCGAGCTGTTTATCCAATCGTGCTCGATCGTCTGGGCCTATCCTGAAGCTGTTTGGAGCTTGAGGTACTTGTGTCGGTTTCTTTGGATCGACGGGGATGGGCGCGGCGGCCTTGTTCATGGGCGCTTGCGTAGCTGTGACGGATGCTGTCTTTGCGTGCGCGATCTCACCAGTCCAGCCTACGAGCACGTGGTTCCACGGAGAAGAGCTAGAGGCCAGGTAAGAGAAGGAGTCGAAAAGGGCCGAGGTTCCGCGTCGCGGGTTCAGTTCCCAGTCGTTGCCCTGTGAGTAGCCAATTGAATAGGGTATGGCAAAGGTCGCACTGATAACGCGACCGCTGAGGTTCAAACCAGGGTGTGCGGCGCGAGGATCTACGTCTGCAAGATCGTGCTTGGCATCCGGGTCGGGTACCTCGCTCGTTTTGCTCTTGACGTCTCCATCAGTTTGTGCGCCGGCTGCCTGTTCAGTCTGAGTGCTAGCCTGGCCCTCTTTTTGCTGGCCAGAGAAGTATGAGTTGGCGCTCCATTGGGGGCCTGGTGTGGCAGTCTCGGGATCGAAGGGGAGGTTGTTCGTCTTCTCGGCAGTAGACTCGTCGAAGTAGGCAGTTTTGCCGGAGAGATGTACACCGGGTGTGACGGGCACGTTGGTAATTGCGGGGTCTAGCGCGGGATGTGTGCTGTCTTGGGAGTCGAGGGGAGGCCTCTGGGGCTTCTCATCTGTGGGAGGGGCCATGGTGGATGTAAGCGTAGGCGGTGCTCTGCATGGAACTGTCAGGTACTTGTAGGCGAGAAGATGAGAGGTGGGAGGATAATAGGTGAGAAATATGCCGAGCGATGGACAGGCAGTGCAATGTTTACGTGCATGCAGTGGTGAGGCGCGACTAAAAATAATTATGAAATGTGAATTACCTGGTGCTTGCGTCGCTGTCTTGGACGAGTCTCACAGGAAAGAGCTCCGCAATGGGTCTGGGCTGGGGCTGTCACGGAACGAGGGGAATTTAGGAGTGTCAAACGAAGGGTGGTGTGAGTGGAAATCAGGTAGAAGACACCACGTGTGTCGAGAAGCTCACAGAAGGTCGACGAGTGTAATGAGGGAAGAAAAGCTGGCCGTGGTGGGATGGTTCAACGCCCCACTAACATAGCTGTGACGTTGGAACCGACCAGCTCGGGCCTCACTGTTGCTGCTGCAAGCAAGGCATCCAGGACAGCAGCGTACCATTACCGACTCCTCGCGTCTGCACGCGCTCCGCTCGCTGACCGCTCTGCGAAGTTTTGTTGGGCGTGTCAATATGATGTCAGGCAGCTTTCATATCGGACGAGGGTGTGGGCCGGCGCAAGTGCTGCAAGTGGACCGACGACGGAGACGCTTTGGGGCCTCTGCAGTGCCTGTGGGGTATTGGGGGCAGTCTGGCCACTTTCACAATTGCCCTCGATATATCATGCGACATGGCAGACGCAGGGCTAGCAATAAACGTGTCCAACGGCCGGGTGCATACGAGAGCGACTGGTAATGCAGCATGCCCGCGGGAGTGCCTGGCATCCTCCGCCGTCGACTCGACGGCCCAAAGCGGACTAGATGCTTGGCACAGTGCACGCGAAGATGCATGCAGAAGATTCGTGTAGAGTGAGCACAACCACCACCTTGCCGCATTGCGAGCCGTCGTTATCTCTCCGGGCCTAATGCAACTCTCGCGCACCCGCCTGATATGTCGCGCCCATAACCGCTTCAATCCGTCCATTGCGCTATGGCAGCACTTTGTCCAACCTGGCTCGCCAGGACCCCGCGACCGGCGCCAACTTTCTACTGCGACGGAAGCTGCACAAGATGGCGCGAATCCAAGTAGCAAGGGTGACAATGCTCTGGCTCACGATGCCCAAGCTAGCGAAGTAGTCACCGAAAATGCGACAGAAACGCAGAGCGCAGAGGCAAAGGCAGAGTCATTGCCCGTGAGGAGAATGACCACGGTCAAAGGGCGCTGGCTGTCCAGCAAGGTCGAGGTATCGATCGCTAAAAACAAACACCTGAAGCGGACAATGCCTACTCCCTCGAATGTCGAGTACCAGGATCAGCTGGTGACTGCCAGAGACGCGTTCGCAAAATCGCAAGACTACGAGGGCGTCGTTGTGCGGCCCATCGTGGTCGGGAAGTTCAGAGAGAGCGCGCTTCCATGGTGTGTGAACATGGAGGGAGAGCCAACAATGACAGGCATGGATCGGTACATCCCCAAGCCATCCTCACTCGTAATGCCATGCTAAGTCGAGGTCCAGTCTGCATTCAGAAATCGAGAGATTCTACAAATACACACAACCCGACCGATACGAAACGGCCGCCCGGAAGCACCTCATCGAACAGGTGCAGAGACAGGTTAAACAATTCCTCCCGAAATACAACATCGAGGTATTCGGCTCCGAGCGAACTGGTATAGCTATGCCTCTGTCAGACATAGATTTCAGGCTGGTATTAAAGTCGCAACCGTCAGACCCCGCGCAGGTACCAAAATTGCCGCCAGATACGAAAGAGCGGAAAAAGGGAACACGTCTTCTGAGTAAGTTATATTGGAGGGTATTCAACAAAAGCGGAGCATACCTACTGGCCGCGATTCGTCACGCGCGCTATCCTCTCGTCGCCGCGCAGGACCGCAAATCGGGCTTGGATGTGCAGGTCGTGCTCTCAAACGATACATCCATCTCGAGGGTGACTATGCAGGAGTACATGGAAAAGATACCCTATCTGCGAGAGCTGTATTGGGTAGTCAAGACCATGTTCGATACACGCGGCTTGTCAGACGTATTCCGGGGCGGTTTTGGCTCCTACTCGCTCTTCATGATGGTGGTCGCCAGCATCAAGCATGCACCAAAGCCACCAAAAGACTCTGCGCGTGCCCTTCTCCACTTCCTCGACTTCTGGGGCAACTTCGACACGACGAAGCACGGTGTGTCTATCGAACCTGCTTACCTCTTCGACAAGACGAAGCACCCTGTCCTCACGGATACGCAGAGGGCTCAGCTACAGGTATGCACCCACCCATTCTCCTCTTTACATCTTCCATCATGCTAACCACCACATAGAGCGGAGAAACCAAACCCCTCCCCTCGTACATGCTCTCCCTGCGCGACCCCGCCGACGAAACCAACGACCTCGGCCGCAAAGGCATAGCCATCAAGCACGTGCAAGCCACCTTCCGCGATCTCCACAAGAACCTCCTCCTCGACGTGAAATTCAACAAGCGAGCCTCCATACTCAGCCCTCTCGTAGGCGCGTCCTACATGCTGCAACTCGAGCGTCGCAGAAAACTACAAAACTACGGTCGCGAGTGGGTGGAGAGGGAACAAAAGGACCTTGCGAAACTGGCAAAGGAGGTTAGAGAGGGTGGATGGCAGAGTGTAGTAGACGCAGTAGACGAAGAGGTGCTGAAGGACTCTGTGGAGGAGGATGTGGAGGAGAATACGCTGAAGATGATGGAAGAGGAAGAGGCCAGGCTGCGATTAGCCAAGGAAGAGCGGGATAGGGAGTGGAAGAGGCTGGCCGAGGAGAAGACTCGGCGGTTGAAGGAAGAAGCGCAGAATATGTCGATACTAGACCATGGTGATACCATGTCTTCGATCTTGGGTATGGGTATGCCTGCAGTGGAGGGTCCGCAGACAAGTAAAGATGGTGTAGACGGACAAGGCGACGAGGCGAAGAAGGCCTAGTCGCTTACCAATGTTGTAAAATATCATCACATGCAATCTTCACAGTAATCACAACCAAGCACGCAACTCAAGTCGAACATCAGAGAAGAAATCGAGCCTGTTGTGGTAAGAGTGATAATAGCCAGATGCTATGAACCCCAGTCCAGCATGCATGCCGTAGTACAAGTGTAAAACCCCCCATCAGTCACTACCATGAAAGTCTGTCTGCCCCTAACCATCATCCTAGCCTCCCTTTCGCAGATGCTAACGACAAAAGACACGCTCTCCGCCGCACCCAGTCTTGACGCTCCCTTGTTGCGCTTCGAGAGCCTAGATGGCGTACTTTCGGGTCCACTCGCGCGCCGTCGATTCGTAGCGGGACCGGTCGGTCTTGTAGACGTGTGCGATCTCGGGGACGAGCGGGTCGTCGGGGTTTGGGTCTGTCAGCATCGAGCAGATACTCAGCAGCACTGTGATTTTGTTAGTGTGTATTCTACTCGACGTAGGGGACTCGGGTAACGCACCCTTTGAGATGGTCAGAGCAGGGCTCCATTGGTCTCGCAGAATGTCCAAGCAGATGCTGCCGTTGGAGTTGATGTTGGGGTGGTAGATGCGGGTGGTGAAGTTAACCTTCGGGGGCTTGAAGGGGTAGTCGGTTGGGAAGTGGATTGCTAGGAAGAAGACACCGCCGGAATATGGTGAGTCGCCGGGACCCATGATGGTTGCTTGCCAGTGGAACTGCGTGTTGTTAGTGTCATGTCCAGTGTGGTTTTTCGTTCGCCCAGCCGCGTGGCTGTCTTGACGGAGAGTGACGTACCAGATCATCTCCGATGGGGCCAGCTGAACAGGAAGAGGGAGGGTCACTAGGGGTATCATGTCAGCAAAATGTTCTTCTCGTCGTGTTCTCGCAGGGCTATGGCGTTGCGGCCTTGCTTGAGGGCCCGCATGCGGTCGTGGCCGTGCAAGCAAAACAGCGAGCCTCGCCGCCAGCCACGAGGGCCGGGAGATGGGTCACGTACCGGCCGAGATCGGTCAACTCCTTGTTGATGCGCTTGAGAGCCATGGCTGCTGTGTATGTGTATGTGGTGTGGAGTGGTGGTGACGGGTATCGCGGGTGTCGGGGTTGAGCGAGTTGGTGTTGAAGAGTTGAAGTGGGATGTCTGCGCAGGCAAGGCGGTTAGTTAGCGGCGGGGATCCAAAGAAAGCAAGTGCGGCGTGTCAGCGCGGGAACCTCATCCGCCACTCTTTAACTCACTCACCTCTGACTCTATGAAGGACAAAGACGGTCACGCTGTACGGGCACGATGTTTTGCGCGATGGGGCTGGAGCAGGGGCGTTTGTATTTATCATGTGTGAGGAGCCAACCGCACGAGGCGAGACAAGCTGACCGCCCAACTGTCGCTGCCCACATTTCCACCGAGCGTTTCTACCCAGCAACCGCGCTGGGTGGCAACCTATCGAAGCCTGGAGAAGAGGCCTCAAGGCTGACATGGACATTCACGCTGCTTCTGACCTCACTTAGTCACCACACATTGGGCGGTAGCGAGGCCTTTACTCGGGTGGCGAACGGCACTGTGGGAACGAGCAATCAGATGTGATACTTGCCGCGTTCGAGGCAAGAGTCGCCGGGTTTGATATGCATTTACTTCTAAATAAACATTGCCTGCATGCGTACCACCGCTAGGCGCCTACAGCTGACATGTTGCTTGTGATTGGGTGCGCTTCTACGTATTCTTGTTGGTAGTACAGCAACAACCCGAGTATATTTCACCATTAGCAGAATGCTTGTAGACCTGTGATTGCACGACCGAGGATCAAAGCTGATGCAGGTTAGTCAGAGTCGAGACACGTTTCGATTGTACTCACAGTGGATGTCGCTTTGGCCCTCATATGTCTGCGTCACAAACAAGTTGGCGACATGTCTCCCGATTCCGTACTCGTCAGATACTGCGTTTCCGCCAAACACTTCTTGCAGTCTGCTCACAGTCAGTACATGTCGAACAAGCGCTTGGTGTTACTTACGTTCGCGCGTTGATCAAAGCCCGGTCACAGTTCTGTCTCTTGATCATAGAGATCATCTCAGGTGCAGCTTTGCCCTCGTCCTTGAGCCTTCCGACTTGGTGGGCGGCCAGGATACCGTATGCAGCATCCGTCGTCGCGTCAGCTAGCTTCTTCTGCACAAGCTGGTACTTGGCAATCGGGTTGTTCTTGAATTGTTTCCTCTCGAGGGCGTACTCTCGGGTCCTTGCAATGCAGTCCTCGAGAGCACCGATAGTCCCCCAGGCAATGCCATATCTGGCCGAGTTGAGACAGCTGAAGGGCCCCTTCAAACCCTCAACCTCTGGAAACATGTTTGCTTCGGACACGGGACACTCATCAAGCTGGATCATGCCGGTAATGGACGCCCGCAGACCGTTCTTGTGCTTGATTGGCGGGGTCTCGAGAGTACCCGGTGGACATTGGTCGCGCTCAATGACAAAGCCACGGATCTTGCCAGTCTCCTGCAGCTTCGCCCAGACAAGGAGAACATCGGCAATGGGCGAGTTTGTGATCCACGTCTTTGATCCAGATAGTGAGTAGTAGCCCTTCTTAGTCGGATGTGGCTTAGCAGTTGTCTCCAGAGAGCCTGGATCGGATCCGTGGTTGGGCTCAGTCAGACCAAAGCAGCCCAGCAGTTGACCCTTGGCCATCTTGGGTAGGAGGCGCTCCTTCAGTTCTTCAGATCCAAACTCCTCGATACCGCCCATGGCAAGTGAGCTTTGAACTGAGTAGCCGGAACGATATCCAGAATCGACTCTCTCCACAGCTCTGGTGATCAGACCTGCGGCAACACTGCTGACTCCGGCACACTCGTAGCCCTGAATGCTTGCACCCAGTAGCCCTAATTCGCCCATTTCCGTGATGATCTTCCTATCAAAGTCCTCATTGCGGTATGCGTCTGTAACACGTCAGCTAGCTCTAAACTCCCCACAACGGTATATGTACCTAGCACTCTCGGGAGCATGCGCTCTTGGCAATATGACTCTGCTGTCTCCGAGATGGCTTGCTCTTCCTCTGTGAACAAGTTGCTTGTGTTCAATGGATCTTGCCAGTCAAACTTGACGGGAGCATGTAGGTACCGCTTGCCGAGGGCCGCAGACCGGAGTGGGGTGCGCAATTGCCTGGCGGCATGTCTGTAGGTTGGTCGCAGCATGTTGGAGTCGTTATCAGGAATGTGGAAAGTGTCTCAGCTACACAAAAGTGACAGTTATACCCGGGTTCTCACGAGAATCTGCGTAATTGGATGAAGTTGGCCTCGGAAGTCCCACCGTTGAAAGAACCGCGGCAGGCGGTTCGGAAGCACTCCGCGGTGGCAAGAAAGCTAGCATCGTCACTCCAGACACGCGGCAATTGAAGGATTTGGCGGGATCACGAGTTGCAGATAGCAGATCCGAGATGCATCGCCTGGAATGCATGCAGAGCCTCACTAAGCGATGACAGGCAAATGTGGGGTAGCGACGCCAAGAAATGTAGACCGTGATTGCGCGCGGTGAGACGCGAACGCGTCGTGACGATCGTTGGCGTCACTTTCTCCAGCCACCACGCAGTCGCCTACGCTTCTGCACACAACACTCTGGGCCAACAGCACCTCAGACCTATCTGATTAGTACAACTGCCAGAGAAGATCAGTCATCATGGGTATCAAGCACCTGTACCAACTCATCGAGGAGCATGCGCCAGAGGCCGTAAAGAAGGGCGAGATCAAGAACCAGTTTGGACGCAAGGTCGCCATAGTACGTCTATTTTAGTCGTTCCTACGCGGTCAATTGCTAACATATTCAGGATGCGTATGCATATCATGACCCCTCTGTGGCTCTCCAATCTAATACCGTGTAGATCTATGAGCATCTACAGTTTCCTCATCGCAGTCCGCTCCGATGGCCAGCAGCTCATGAGCGAGACGGGCGAAACCACATCACATCTCATGGGTCTCTTCTACCGCACAATGCGCATGGTCGACAACGGCATCAAGCCCCTGTACGTCTTCGATGGCGCTCCACCCAAGCTCAAGTCCGGCGAGCTCGCAAAGCGTTTCCAGCGCAAGACAGAGGCACACGCGGCGGCTGAAGAGGCGAAGGAGACCGGTACAGCTGAGGATGTCGAGAAATTCTCGCGGCGGACAGTCAGAGTCACGAGGGAGCACAACGAGGAGTGCCAGCGCTTGCTCAAGCTCATGGGCATCCCCTACATTGTCGCACCGACCGAGGCTGAAGCCCAGTGTGCTACGTTGGCGAGAGGAGGCAAGGTGTACGCCGCTGCTTCAGAGGACATGGACACCCTTACTTTCGATTCACCCATCCTGCTGCGACACTTGACCTTCAGCGAGCAGCGCAAAGAGCCCATTCTGGAAATCCACCTGGACAAGGTGCTCGAAGGCCTGAACATGGAGCGGAAGCAGGTACGAATACATCACTACCTCAAACGTATCATATACTAACCACTGTCAGTTCATCGACCTCTGCATCCTCCTCGGCTGCGATTACCTCGACCCCATCAAAGGCATCGGCCCAAGCACCGCCCTCAAGCTCATCCGCGAGCATACCGACCTCGAAGGCGTCGTCGAACACATCAAGTCCCAATCCTCCAAGAAGCTCACCATCCCCGACGACTGGCCGTTCGCAGATGCGCGTCTCCTCTTCCTCGAGCCCGACGTGCGCCCCGCCGACGACCCAGAATGCGACTTCAAGTGGGAAGCCCCAGATGTAGAAGGCCTCGTCAAGTTCCTAGTCGAGGAGAAGCACTTCAACGAAGACAGGGTGCGCAACGGAGCAGCCAAGCTACAGAAGAACATGAAGACAGCGCAGCAGAGTAGGCTGGAGGGCTTTTTCAAGCCGATTGAGAAGACTGCTGAGGAGAAGGCTAGTCTCAAGCGCAAGGCAGAGGAGAAGCTCGAAGAGAAGAAGAAGAAGCAAAAGGCTGACGCGAAGGCGAAGAAGCAGGCCAAGGCCAAGCCGAGGACTGCTGGTTAGATATGTGATGAT